TTGCATTGTTTGTGGCATTAATTTACGGACGTTTTTGGCACGAAGCTCCACTGGCTGCAAATGCTCTGTTTAATGATGCTCAAATGCTGAAACAGTTTCAAAAGTATCCAAACCGCACAATCGCCGATGCAGCTTTTACTGCATTTTCTCGACACCTTTGGTTCTTCTCGGAACATCTTATAGGTCTGGCATTTTTTAATAGTCGCGTTGATCTGGATGTGAAGAGAGCCATGGTGGTTAACCTCCAACTGCCCAAGACAACTCTAGCACTGAAGAGAGTAGATTCCAAGAATACCGACTTCAACAGACTAGAGACATTCGTGACTGTGAGAACCTATAGTTTATTAGAGTTGTTGAGCAGTACAGGGAGAGAGGAGGCCAGAAACTTCATTTCAAAAGATCCTAAATATTGGGAGGACGATGAATCATATCAGAAGTTGGCAGAGAGAGTCCAAAGAATGAAAGTTGTTTATGACAGCGCAGAACGTGGAATTGCATTAATTGGACAGTACAACGAATCGATTACAAAGGATGAAGAACAAAAGCAGTTCCTACTTCGTTTTGTTCAACGTCACCGCCAGCTATACCCTACTTCATCCAAGGCAGCCATGTTGGCGATAGATGACGAAATCGTTGATTAATAAACATACTTTTTTTAACATATTCACAATATTCTTGATATTACAGTTTTTTGTTTAAAAATTACGAAAGTTACGAAACGTTGATATACTTTAATAAAAATTGATCAATTGATGATCTATATTGATTGATCAATTGATGATCTATACTCTACAGGCATTCTATTTACCTGATTTAAATTGTTAGTGGCATTAATTTTTAAATTCGATATTATATTTATTGTGAAAACTTAAATTTTTTGATTTTTTTATCATTGTGGTCAAAAAGTCAAAATTTATAGCAACCCCTAAATATTATCCGATTTGCTTCAAATTTGGCTACAATATTGCAAATATTAATAGGAACAAAGGCAGCCTTGTGGAGAAATGAATTTCAATAATTTATAATTTTGGACCATCCTAGGCTAGATAATCATATTCTGCATCATTTGATCAAATATAAGCGCCATTTTGTCAAAGTGTATCAAGTTAGCATTTTACAAAGATATTACTTCTAAAGAAAGACACGTGAAAAAAATTTAATTTAGTTCAAAAATAAAAGGGTTTAAATGATAACATTTTCACATTGCAAATTCTTTTAATGTTGGGAGTAATTAATTACACTAGCAGTAAGCAACCCGTAATACACGTTGTTCGTAAATAAAATTAAAAAAAAAAACCGCGTATAGAAACGCTTAGAAACTACTTTAATATAGAAAAGCCTAGAAAATGACGTAACTCGACTAATAATAATAATATTAAATTAGCGTATTCATATTTATCAGAAGTCTTGAACAAAATTTTTTAATATAATGCATTGCTGACATTAAGTAAGTTTTGTGTTTGAACCTAATATTTTTAGTAAAATTGCGGTAGAAAGCTTTAGCAAAGTTAATTTGTGTTATGGTTCAACTAATAATAATAACAAAAAATATGGTTGCTCGAACAATCATCTGATAATATGGATACGCTAATTTAATATTATTATTATTATTATTATTATTATTATTATTATTATTATTATTATTATTATTATTATTATTAGTCGAGTTACATCATTTTCTAGGCTTTTCTATTTTAAAGTAGTTTCTAGGCTTATCCATACGCGGTTTTTTCTTAATTTTATTTACTAACAACGCGTATTACAGGTTGCTTACTGCTAGTATATGATTAGTCAGATATACCATAGTCATAGTATTTAACTAGTCTGGAAACGCGGGCCGTTTTCTTAAAACACTTAAGTTCCTCTCTATACTAGTGCTCAGCCTACTTCAGAGTGCATCAAATTGTAAACATTGTATTTCGCTTTTGATAAGTTGCATATATTCTGGGATAAATATTGAAATGGATGAACAAATTGTAATTTTTTTGGTTATTCATTTTCAAGTTAAAATTTTGGATGTTAATAATAATGTTGGTATCTTTTAAGATATGTGCTTACCCTTAACACAGCATATTTATCTACCTTAGAGAGAAAATTATATTTTAATTATTACCTAAATTATATTAAAATAAAGATTTGTTGTTTAATTTTCTTTTAATAGATTAATAATCTTCAAAGGAAAAAATTTTTACCTTTAAAGATAAAATTTTTTATTTTGGAAGGTAGAAGACTTAACCTTACTATGTGCATATCACATATTCTACTCTACGGTAGAACTTCTACCTTTTTTACAAGTGCTATACTAACAATAAATGTTGTGTGAAAAATATTTTTCTATTTTTATTAACAAGTGAAAAACTTAATCAGTAGAAAATATTAGGATTTTAATAAATACTTTAAAAATAGCTTGTATATAAATTTTTATTTTTATTATGCTGTATTGCAATTTATGCTTTATTGCAAATAGCAACTAAAAAAATATACTTGATACAATAAAGATGATGCAAAAGTTTGCTACCAAATATTGCATCACTATCATACACAAATCAAATTTAATTTAATTATAAAAAAAGTACAGTGTATTAGAGAAGATTACAGAATTCTATTTAAAAATCACAGTGTATCAAATTAAGTTACAAAATTTTATTTCAATTCTTAATTTTAAGCTATAATTTAATATCTTTTTTTTTGAATGCAGAAAAGTAATATCTCAAAATCTAAGGTTATCTTCAACTAAAATAAGATATTTCATGTTAATTATCTAGTTTCAAAGTCAGCTGCAGTGTATGATGATATACTTGACTAATCTAGATGATGTACTTGACTTTTAGAAATAGTGCCACTGCATGACAAATGTTTCTTTTGCTTTAGAAAGCAATCAAAATTTGCAAACTCATTTTCTTAAAAGTTGTTGCTTGTAACTTGCGATGTTTGTGCAAATCGCAAGTTGTTGAATAGGCATTAAAAATGATTCGTTTATGCCTAATCCACCACATTAAAATAAGACAACTTGTTACTGTCTTAATTAAATATGACTTATCCAACTTAAAATATATGGAAAAAAGAGATATAAGTAAGGATGGTAAGTTTATACAGTGGAACCATGAAGACAGAGAATGTGGTCTTTGTATTTTACCTAAACTTACTTTTAAGCATATAAAGTTGACAAAATTTTATTAAAAAGTGTTAATTTTGCTGCCTAAATAATAGGTTTTTGCTGTATTAAAAATTTTATTACATTATGGAAAAGCTTATCTGAAGATTATTTCCGACACTAACAATCACTTAAGTGCTTGCAAGGCTAACCTATCATTTAATAACTTTCAATAATAACAAAATAAAAAATATTTTTAGTAGCTGGAAATGTAATGTATTTACCTACACGGGTATTATAGAGTGGTAGTAATATAGTATTTAGTCATGCCAAAAAAAAAAGAAGTTATTAGATTTGTTCAAAACTAAATATTTTTTAGATATGTAAAATAGCAGTCTTGTCATTATTATTTTAAAATTAAAAAGACAATTGTATTATTTTTATTACTCAATCTTTTATTGTTGTTTTATTACAAAGTTACTACACCATAAAACTATTAAATATACATGAAGCATTTATTGTACTAATCTAGGAGCTAATTATATACCAATAATATTTTTAAAAAATATGTGGCTATGAAAATAGCTGTTTTAGTAGGTTCATCTCACTTTTTCTTTAATGTTCTTGTTCCAAAATATTTCAAATTATTCCAAAAATAGAGGGTGTTTTATAATTGATGTTCTTTATATATCAATTTAGTTTGACTTTTTTGAACTTTGAAAGCTTTCAGGTTATATTTTGCAATGTACAATCTACGAACTTGTATGTAAAATGTTAGATGATCATGCATACTTAGCTGCAAGCAAATACGATAAACACTGCTCATTATACAACTTAGACATGTTAGAATTAAAACCAATTGTAAAATTAAAGGCACCAAAAACATTCCCACTAAGTCATAATAGAATGTTTTGTTTAGTAATGTAGAGAAATACATGCTTAAATGTTATAATATCATTGATAAAAAAGGTGCCAGTCAAATAAACAAAGACAAGATTTGCTACTTCAAAGCATAAAAGAAATTGTTTTTTCAGAAAAAGTTTTGTAGAATCGATTCTACAAAATATTTTCTGAAAAAAATAATTTCTTTCATGTTTTGAAAGCATTCATGTTTTGAATGCTACTTCATGTTCTTTCATGTTTTAATCAGTGGTAAAAAATTTCAGCATTTCAAACAAATGAAGCAGTTACATTTTAATAGGAACTAAGCTGTAATGACTTCTTCTTGAAATAATTGAAATATAATACTTGATATTAAACTTTTAATGTCAGCTTGTAGCAAAGTACCATTTATCTGAAGCAAGCTTTACTGCAATCTTGATTAAATAATTATAAAATCTTATAGATTGAAGAATAATCTTTGCTTTCTTTTATTCTTTACTAAATGTTTATCAATAATCTTGTCCTTGTGCTTGGCGTTGAGGTGACGAGTCACCGTGTGATATACATCGTTTCTTGCAAAACAAACACATAAATATTCTTTCTTCACTTTGGTTAGGATAAATTAAAATAGGTAGTCTAATGTTTGAACTAAAATTGAGATCTGCCTTCAACAAATAACAACTCAATAGCAACTAAAACAGCATCGAATTCATTCAAATTTTCAAAGTCTGCGCTACAAAAAGTCATTTTAAAAACATTTGATGCACTCTCAGTCCGGTCACCCCTTAAAGCTCAAGTTATTTAACGAAATCTAAAGAAAACGGCCCGCGTTTCCAGACTAGTTAAATACTATGACTATGGATATAGACCCCTTTTCGTTGTTTTGATTTTTCAAAATAAATGCGCATGCGCGCGTCTTTGGCAGTCAAAACAAATCGATTTTAAAGCTAAACAGTAAATATTAATTAGCGTCTTTTAATAATGTAGGAGTTAAAGGTTTAATTTATACAAAGTTATTTAATAACCATTTATATTTATAAAATAATATGCTTGACGTGTGTTGTGCCTATGGATGTACAAATAGAAGAACATTAGCTAATGCTCATTTGAGCTTTTATCGAATACCAACTAATAAATCTGAATCTAGTGCTAACAGAAGAGACAAATGGGTTGCAGCAATTAAAAGAGAAAAATGGAACGTAAAACAAATAAATAATGCTCGTTTGTGTAGTGCTCATTTTACTACAGGTAAGATTTTTAGTTTTCCATTCAGTTTTTTTTGTGTTCTAATAGTTTTCATGTATTTGTTATACTTAAATTAAAATAATAAAAAATAAACTCTTAAAACTTTAAGTATTCTTACTTATGTATTAACTGATAATCATCTTTTTTTAGGGAAAAAATCTGATGATCTCTGTCATATTGATTATGTTCCAACTGTATTTTCTTTTAAAAAGACACATGGAAAACAAATTAAAGCTTCTTTAGAACGATATGAGCGATCAAAAAAAAGGAAGCGAACTCTTTCTAGTAATGAGTCTATATTACCAATTCACGAGGTTGGATCATTTAACGAGACAAAAAATAATGAGTTGGTTGAAGGGGACTGTTTAAATTGTCCTTCAGAGAACGAGATAACCCAAAGAGCTGTTGAAATAGGTAAAAAAAGAACAAAAAATTTGTAAATTAAATTTATCTTAATTGGTGTCACTGATATATAACTTAT